GGCCGGGAACCTCCTTCCCGCTCCTCCCGGTGCCGGTGCGGAGCCACCTGCGCTCCTCGTCCGCCCCAGCCCGGGCCCGGGAGGCGGAGGGAGCGGAGCCGGTGTCTCCCACGACGGCAAGTCCCGGAGCTCGGTGCGCTCGGCGGAGCCCGGCGCTCAGCGGAGGCACTCGGGCCTGGGGAAGCCCGCGGGCAGCGCCGTCTCCTGTGGAAATCTCCCCTCCCCGCGTCTCTCTGCCCCACGAAACGCTTCGAGCCCATCGCCCCGGGGGACAACCAGCCCTGCCCCGCTGCTAGCCCCAGGGTACCCAGGCAGGGGTTGCGGGGGCACCGATTCACGGTGCAATGAACAGTACCGGGGGCGGGGAAGGATGAAACATACCTCTGGCTCTGCTAGGGGTGAGCAGGGAATGCACAAAGCAGGATTTGTCGTGAAATCATCCCGCTAAGGCGGAGAGGGCAGCGGGGCTCAAAACGCGCCCCGGGAGAGGCGGCCGAGAGCAGCACAGGCTGACAAAAAGCAGCAAAGGGGTGCCCGGAGCGGCGGGGCTTTGAGCGCTAGAAGAAGTAAGAGGATCCGGGGGAAAGGACTGTGCAATTTCAGCTGTGCAAAGCCCTGGCATCCCGGGACAGGAAGAAGGCAATTTAAGCCTGGAAATTTGTGTTCGGCTGCAAACACTTCAGCCACAGCTTGCAATAGCGCTTAAAACTGACCCAGGGACCTGAAGCCTCCGCTTCAGAAGCTGCTCAGATTTTGGATCACCTCCGGTAAGAGGGATGCGAGTTTCTGAATCATCTCGTTATTTTATAATTCTTTTTTTTTCTGAATTATCAGGAGATGTCAGCAAGGCTTCAGGGGCATTTGCTACTCAAATCAGTGTTGTGGTTGCAGGCCGAAATTTTGCATCACGCCTCCTGCCAAGCATGGCTCTATTTTAAAAAGGAACTCTAGTGCGTTATGTAGTAAAAGACAAGAAAGAAAACAAATTATCCCGTTTAACCTCCTTTATATATTTTTTTCCTTACAAACAAACGACTTTGGAGGAGAAATGTCTTTATTCTGAAACATTCTTCACAATTAGTCTCTGCTTTGACTGCAAACTCCGGACGCAGCAAAGTCACTTATCTGCAGAGATATCACCAACAACATAAAACAGCAGGGAAAGGAGCAAAAAGTCTCCCAGCTGCCAGGGTCAGCTTCCAGATTCTGGGAAAGACGGCGCTAAAGGAAATATTTGCTTACCTGTCTCAGCTTTCCAGACCGACACCTGGAGCCTGCCCCAAGCCGGTGGCCTCGGAAAAGCAATTGCACCCCAGTTTGCATCTGGCTGCAGGAATGGCAAGTCGAATCTAAAAAAAAAAAAAAAAAGGTTTGGTTTTTTTTGTTTTGTTTTGTTTTTCTTTTTTGCCGCCGGGCGCAGCTCGGGGGCGGCCCGGGAAGGGGCAAGGGGGGCGGGGGGCACCCCCTGCACAGCAACGCACACCAGCGAGGAGGGACCCCGTTCACAGCAGCTGCTACCCTGCCTCGCCGTCCGCAGGGCCCGTGAAGCGCTGGTCCTTTCTTACACGACGATAATGACTTCGGAAAGCCTGACTCACATAAAAAGTATCTATAAAGATTTACTCGCGGTTTTGTCGATTTGGAAATACGTTTCTCCGTTTTCCATCTACCCTAAACTGGCTGGGTTTGATCTCCAAAACAGTCATTGGGAAAGAAAACTGGGGGAGGAGAAGCATTTCTCTGAAGAGTTTAACCAAAGCACATTAAATATTTTCCCAACATCACCAAATAAACAACAATCCTCCAGCTCCCTATAAACTATTTAAAGCATGTCATATCATCTCTTCTGCTCTTGCCAATGTACTTTCCTTTTAATTTATAAGCCGATTAGAGCAGGGGCCTGTCTTTTTGTGTATATTTGCAAAATGTCTGGCACCCTTTCAGTCAGTCGCAGTTCACAAACACTTAAACCTGCATTTAACTTCGTTATTATAAGTAGTTACTTCGATTTTTCCTCGCTTTTGTAGAGCAGTAGTCTGTGAAAGCGCTTGTTGTAAATGGTCTGAGCAGTCATTGAAGGGTTTCAGCAGAGGAAACCTCTTTGGATAGCAGGGCTGATACAAAAAAAAAAAAAAAAAAAAAAAAGGAAAAAAGGAGAAGAAAAAGCACAAGAGAAATTTAATCTGAGATCTCAGGCTGTATAAATCGGCCCAGAAGAAAATGGGTAAAACCTCTTTAGGAAGAACATTTTTAGTTCGCTAGAAAATAAACTTCTGCTCATAAACGATGAAAGTTATTATCATCAGAGGATGTGCTCTACCAAACAAACCTCCATTAGGCTGGGAAGGATAAAACAGGCTAGACAGCCTTTTTTTTTAAAAAAAATCATCATGTCTTTGATTCCCAAGATATCAACCATGTCTGTTTCTATAGTGCTGTCAAGTAAACCTGAGTTATGGATACTCTAAAAGAAGCCAGCAAGGAAAAAATTCAGCAAATGAAAATCAAGAGCACGATTCATAGATACTTTACCAAAATATACTTTCTTTTCAGACTCTTCAGTTCCTGCCCTGTCCCATGGCATGACAATTTCTGAGAAGAAGAGCAAGACCATTGAATGTGGTAAAGCTGTGGTCATCAGAGCACACAATTGCATGGCGGATTCTTTTTATTGAGGTTTTTGCTCTTTCTGCACTGCAGCGTCCATCATTTTCACCACAAGAGCCTTAATGTCTGGAATGCAACCTCCTAAAACCGCCAGTGCCTCAAGGTGGGTGTCACACAGCCTGAACTCCGCTGCTGAAACCATTTTCTAGCACGTTTATCTATCACGTCTAACCTGAACAAGCAGGCAGACGACAACCGCTTGATTTAATACAGTATCCGTGCATTGCTCTTTAATGTAGGTGACCTGGGAAGTTCTGTAACAAGGAAATACATCTGTCTGGGCTAGGAGGACTGGCTGGCTAGGGAGCTCAGCGACAGCGGGAGGAAAGCAAGCCTACTGAGAGAGCTTCCTCCCTCCATACATGCAAAAAGCAAGGCATCGATCAAAACCAACTGCCTGCTCAGGAAAAGCACAGTTGGCAATGCTGCCTTTGCATTTTTTGCCAGCATGAGAGGAAAACAAACTGGTATCTCCAAATCTAGCAATAGGAAAATAGAGCACAGTGGTGCCAGGCTTTCCTTTGGGAGACAATCTGTACTCACTAGCTGCCTAATTAAGAAACCTATAAAAATAAGGGACAGGGACAAAACGAAGGCACTAGTCCCATAAAGGCTGCGAGTGTGGGCTCTCCCTAGCTGGCAACCACGGGAAGACATGTGAGAAACAGCGGGGATGAAGTTGAGTTTCAGGCAGCTGCTCATCCACGATCTTTTATTTTTTCTTTTTTTCTTTTTGTAACTTAATTCCCAGTTCTGTGAGCACTTAGGTACCAGGTACTCTGCTAGAATAAACTGCATTTATTATTTTCCTTAATCTGTCTAA